GTTATGGAACACTGACCAACAGCTCCTGGAAAAACTCTAAAACTTACCTTTTTGTTTCAAGCTGTTTTCCAGTGTTACAAAGTTTTCATAGAATATAAAATAAATTTGAGAATAATGGTTGTCAAAAAACTGCTTCAGGTCACTTCCATCCACAATATCTGAAAAGAGGAACAGAGCAATTACACAAGAGCAGAAAGACAAGAATTTAAAGCATTCTGCAAAATTAGCATTAGAGAATTAAATTAATGCAATACAAAACTATTTTAGTGAGTTCACCAAGTATTCTGTACTAAACCGTCAGTCCATCCTTGCAAAGAATTTCACTGAATTTATGAGAGTCTGCAGTGGGGCTTTGGTTCATTTGCTTTCCATTAAAAAAGAAAAAAAAAAAAAAAAAGATGGGTTGAGTCTTAGCTGTATAACCAAATGGCCTCTGTACCATCAAAACAAGCAGGTACTGCTGGAGAAAAACACCAGCAAAGATTTTCAGATGCAAATTCAGTTCTTGCATTCATCTGGCAAGCAGATCAAACTAGAAAACAGCATATTCTCAATATATTTCTTAGAATAATGGAAACTCAATCATGTAGCACTTTCCTAAGCGTTAACTAAGGTCTGAAATTTGAAATAAGTTTATTTTGTACAAAGAAAAAGGTTCACTGTTTTCTAAGCCTGACACTTGATAAACACACATTCATTTCCTCCCTTTGGTCTTTACTGCAACTGATTTGGTCAAGGAAAGTTGTGTCATTTCCCCCCAGAAGAGGGTGAAGGGCTGAAATTAATATCACGTCTCCTCATTGAAGCCTCACTTTGCAAGAAACACATTTGTTACCCAAAATAAAGCTGATTCCAGCAAGAAAGCTCAATAATATCCCACAACCATGGAAGAAAGAGTAACTTTAGCCCTGGACAACCTGATTTTTATTTAAATTAGTACCTTTCCAGCAGTAAGGCGCTGCTTGACTGCTTGTACTATGGAAACAATTAGAGCAGGGAAACTCTCTAACATGATATTTGTTTCCTGCAAACTACTAGTCTGAATTTGCAAGCTAAGTGTCATTATTTCCCTCCATGAATGCATCCTGTTAAACACAACTCCAGGGGAAAACAAGGCTTTCATTTACAGGGATTTCATATGAGGGAATGAGGTCATTAAAATCTAAACAAAAAGGAAACTTTCCCTCTAAATTGCAAAGGGAAGAGAAAGGAACTGCCTCACCAAGAAAGCAAATACTCCATTTTTTTAAATGTGGCATCTCGGTGGTGACTCACAGGTGAGTGTGATTTGAGCTGCATCCCTACAGCCACAGCACTTTCTCAGAGAAGTGTTTAACTTACAGCAGGGTACAGCTCATTCCTGCTTCTTACATGGAAAAAACATTGGAGAAAGTTTCCTGCGCCATTTATCACTTGAGATAACAAAATAAAACCCTGACTTTGGGGAAATGCACTGACTGAACGAGTAGTTAGAGGCACCCGAGGAAACAAGGCAGCAAGCTTGGGGCTGAACTACAGGAATTTGGGGCTGAACTACAGGAATTTTATATTTGTTCCCAGGTTACTACAGCTGCATGCAGGCACCCAGCACTCACCCCTCGGGAGAGCACCAGCAGGCATCCCAAACCCGAGTCATTTCCCCCATTCCCATACAGGACAAGCTCACAAGTCTAGCTAACACCTGACAGTAGCTGCTACAGCAACATACAGGAAAGAGTGAGACACGCATGAGGGTCACACCCTATTTCTTCTCTGTAAATAGGAAATGTTGGCTCACTGGATAACTGTCAGCCACATTTAATCACCTTACTATTCAGTTTAAAATTTAGGGTAATACTCAGGTACTACTTAGTAAGAGCCTGAGTCCATAGACACACTCTCATTGCTCTTCATCATACTAAAAAAAAAAGAAAAACCCAGAGGGGATACTAAGCCTGTACCTTAGCACATGGACTTGCCTTTTATTTTCCTGTTAACTGCCAGATTTTATCACAGTCACCTGTTAGAAATCATCCCTTAATTCCATAAACTTCCAAAGTCACTTCATGCTATTTTCTTGAAGCTCTCTTGATGCTCAAGTACTTGAAAAATTAAAGGAGATGAAGAGAATTTTGCAGCCACACCCTGGTTAATGATAAACTTTTATGACCAGCCTCACCCCAGAAATAATGTACAATTCTTACTTATCTTCAAAAAAAGTATGTTAGCATGAAACAGCCCATTACCAGAACACCCCTGCAACTGGAACAACTTCCAAAATACTGTTAACACCTCAAATGTCACACAAGCTCTATGGAACAATCTCAACCCTGAATCCAGTAGGAAGTCTGCACACATCCCCTATCTGTACATGAAAGTTTCTGCCCAGCCAGTATTGGTCCTGCAGCTGTACAGAATCACGAGGCCAAGCAGTGCCAGAACTGAAACTCCACTACTCCCCTTTGTTATCCCACCTCTGATCAAGGCAGCCCCATGGAAAGCATGGGCTTTCCTAACAGGTATGTTTTAAAAGCAACAATTAAGGATTGCACTTGGTAACCTTACAGATTTCACATTTAGTCTTAACTCTGTGTGTCTCCCACAGCAGTTTCCCACTGCTCAACAGAGAAAAGACTGAAAGTGCTGGACAAAGCAGCATCCTACATCTGTTAGCAGCAGCACTTCTGACTCCTGTACCCAAGAAGAAAACACTACTGAAAGAGAAGTTTCAATATAAAAAGGATATTTTTACCCAAGAAGAGCCAGAGGAAAAAATTCTTAAGGCATAGCAATCCATTTTTGTCCTGCAAAAGTCCCACAGAAACCACTCTGGGAAAGAGCAGAGGCTTCATTTGTGGCCAGGCAGTGGGGAAGAGCCCAATCTGTACATCTCCACCACTCTTGTCAGGCCGCTACTTTTTAAGTCTATCTTAAAAGGCCACGTTACTGGCACGTCCACAAACTTTATTTAGAACTTTACTAACTTAACAGAAATTCTGGCCATGATTCCATCTCCATAGCAACAAAGAAATAAGGGAAATGTTCTGGATATTTCTCAAACACACCTGAACACCCACTTTTAAGTCCTGTTGTTGGTCTGGGTAGCATTTTGTCCTGCCATGTGGACAGAGCACTGCCCAGAGCTGGAACTCAGATCCTAAAGGCCATTGGAAGCTTGAGAGATGTCATAACCAACACCAACTTAAGTAGATTTTTTTCTTTCAGTTTGGGCACTGGACAAACTTACATAGGTGCCACTAAGGGACATGAAGCAATCCAAAGTTCACGTGAGCCCTTATTTATGGAAACACACATTCCTTTTGCTCATCCTTCCCCTATGATCATCCTCCCTCTGATCTGTATCCTCCTGCACCAGTGGGATCACAGAAGAGTAACTGACATTTTGTTTACAATTAAATTCCTGTGATTTAAAATAACAAAGGAAGAGGAGTTGGCATCACCCAAGGAAACAGGAGAGCACGAACAGCTATTTGGAGAACGTGTGGCACTGTGGGCTGAGGGAAGCAGTTGGGAGTAACAGACACATACATTCCTACTCCTGGCCAGGGAAAGGAGAGATGCATCTGGGGAGAAGGAAAAAAAAAAAGAAATCCAACTACTTTTGAGCCTTTATACCAAAAGCTTTACACGCTGGGGTTTTCTTTTCCCAACTCCCACGTATGGAGTTTTTTTCAGTGCTGAACAGTAACACGGAAGACACCCTGGCGAGGGCATCTATCAAGAGAGCATCTTCCAGACGCCACTCCCGTGCTACCTCTCATGTTTACACTGGTGTTGCCAAGAGCAGACACGTCGGGAACATACCCAGAGCCGCTCGGACAGTGCCTGCACTGACCCGCCAGGCAGCTGGACACATCACAGCCCCTGCAAGAACCTTCACCTGAAACCAGTGCCCACAAACACCTTTAAGAAGTCGCCAAACGCAACAGCGTGACACTAGGCCAGGTCTACCCAACACTCTGTCCCGCAAGCGGCTGCTCCCAGTCAGCTCCTTAAGTGCGGCAGATGACAAGGAACAAGTGCAGCACATCGGCGATGATCGCTCGCACTTGCAACAAACCGGCATCACCTGGAAACCAGCAGGGGCCCGTAAAGCACTGACCGGGCACACCCTCTTCCCGTCAGGAGACCCTGCTCCTGCTGTATTTGAACAGCGAACAGAGGCCACCTAAAGCCCCCCGGAACCGCAGCTCACAGCTGAAACTGATGAGGGTGGAGGCCGCCACCCGCAAGGCGCCCCTAGACACGTCCAGCCTTGCCCCAAACCTGGAGTCACCACAAAACACCACACGGTGACTTCTTTCAGAGTTTAAACATCCAACAAAGAGCCCCGCGTTGATGTTATTGACAAGCGCAGAGTTTCTGCGAGCGCCTCTCCGGAGCTGACCTGGGCTGCGCATTTCCCCGCGGTTTCGCAGGCAGCCCAACGCGAGCCCCGGCACACGGCACACGCGAGTTTCCCCGGGCACTCCAAACTTTCTCCCGCAGCGCCCCACGGAGGACGCGCACCGGGGCTGCCTCTGCGGCGGCGAGAGCCCGGGCAGCCGCTCGGGAGCCCGGCTCTGCGTCGGGAGGCTCTGCCCTCAGCACGGAGAGCTGCTACCCCGAGCTCGCTGCTCTCTCCCCGGACACTGCAGCGGAGGGCGAGCCGCGCTCGCAGACCCGGCCGCGGCTCTGCCCGGGCACCCCACGAGCGGCTCGGGGCCCTGGATCCGGGTGCCCCCGCGCCCACGGCCCGCTCACCCAACAGCGCGCGGAGGTGCTTCAGGCGGGTCAGCACGTCCCGCTTGGGGTCCAGCGCCTTCTGCGTGGATTTCCTGACGTCGGCGTGGCTCTTCCTGGAGAACATGCCGGCAGCGCGGCGGGCACGGACGAGGCGCAGCACCGGGCGAGCTCCCCACGCCGCCGCTCCCGCCCCCCGTTCTGCGCGGGGCGCGCCGGGAGCTGCCGTCCGCCCCGCTTCTGACGTCACCGCGGCGTGAGGCTGACGTCACCGCGGCGGCTGCCGGGAGCCCGCAGCCCGGGATCCCCGGCTCCGGCCGGTCCCCCGGGCACCGCGGGGCCTTGCACGGCTCCGGGATCCCCCGGCACCGCGGGGCCTTGCACGGCTCCGGGATCCGCCGTGCGCAGCGGAGAATCCCGGGAGAGCTCCGGGTTGGCTAGCTGGAATGGAGGCGCCCTAGGGAGTTGGCTCTTAGGTAGGCTCTTGATTTGCAATGGAATCACTGGACCACAGGTTTGGGTGGGAAGGACCTTAAAGCCCTTCCAGTGTCACCCCTGCCATGGGCAGGGGCAACTTCCACTATGCCAGGGCGCTCCAACCCCCGTTCAGCCTGGCCTTGGGCACTTCCAGGGATCCAGGGGCAGCCACAGCTTCTCTGGGCATCCTGTGCCAGGGCCTCCCCACCCTCACGGGGAAGAAATTCTCCCCGATATTCAGTGCAGATCTCCACTGGAAAACATTCAGGTTTTGAATAGTCACTTGCACTGTAAGTATATAAATATAGAAGTATATAAATAATCTGTGCTGTCTTTACACACAAGGAAGGGAAAAGAACATGCTCATAGTTACACAACAAAAGCACAATCCATCCCAGGAGCAGTACCCAGCGGGGTTTCAGTTAAAGGCCCTCAGATGCTCTCAATAAAATTCCTGGGTAAAAAAAGTAAATCCTAGTAAGTTTCAAAGCAGGCTGTGGTCCTAAAAAAGAAAACAAGGAGTTTCAGGGAAATTGCTTGCTTATGTGCTTCTTAGTTTTTAACAAAATGTCTTAAAATCATTTTAAACATCACATAGAAATTGTTTTTCAGCCATGAATTGGTGTAGAAAATAAAATGTCACCAGAATTACTATTGTTAGAAGCAGAAAACGCAGCACTGCCACATCTCACTTCCTCTGAGCCCTCTCAACCATCGTTTTTGCTGCAGAGGCCTGAGGTCACCAGAGCAACAGGTCAACAAGCCCTAAACACGTCCCACTGGGGACAGGGCAGTCCCAGCTCCTCCAGCCCTGGGATGGCCCCATGCATGCAGGAGCAGGGAAGGGCTCTGCATGGAAGTTGCAGTGGACAAATAAATACATAAATAAAGAAGCAGGCTGGAGGAGGGGGCTGCAGGCAGTGCTCCTGCACGCCCTGTTTTTGAGCATGGCACAGCTCTCCCTCTCTGCAGCACAGCTGGATTCTGGAAGGGGCAGACCAAGGGCTGGCTATGCCACCAAATCCTGTTGTAAGAAGTGAGAAATCACTTGTTGGAGTCAGGAAGATGGGTAGCGATGATGCACAGCTTTGAAAATGAAAAAACCTGATTAATCCTTTTTGTTGCACAGAAAGGCTGAATGCTTGGAGTCAGTCACAGAAAATTTGCTGCTGTCACATCATCCCTTGCCTTGGAGCCCAGCTCAGGCTTACAGTAATTCGTGTTGCACATCACAGGTAATTCCTATTGCACACCATTCCCATCACGGGTAATTCCTGTTGCATACCCTTCCCATCACACCTTGACACACCATCTCCTTCTGAAGCAGTTATCATTCTCCTGCAATTGTCTCAAATTTTGGGTCATGCGGTATGATTTCAGCATCAACAGCTTCTGAGAAGAGTGAACTGGGCTGTTCTGGCTCTCCCCTTCCATTGGCACAAATCAATTTCTGCAGTTGGCTGAGGAAGCACACGGCTAAAGTCTTGGCTTGTTCTTGTTTATTTTTATTCCTTCCCTTTTATCTTAATTGATTGACAAAACTAGCAGCTTCCAGTTTGTCTCTTCTAGCAGTTTCTGATTGTTCCACGTTTTTGTCATGTTCTGCTTTGTTAAAAAAGGAGCCATTGCAGATTCAGGAATTGTGGTGATACAGCTGCTCTGATGTCTGATAACGTGTGATAAGCAGGGCATCATTATGGTGCTTAGCACCAAACTGCATAACTTTAGGCACTCAGTGGTTTGAGGTGTGCCAGAAATTCTGCCTGTGAAAAGCTCCAGGGAACAGAGATGCCATGCCTGGAATCACAGTGCTCTAGGACAGTCCTTGCTCTCCCTTTGAGTTCAAACATCATCAAATACAACTTTTCAAATTATTCACTTAGGAGCTGGCATAGGACAGCACAAGCCAGAGAATGCCAGTAAACCTACAGCAGTGACTTCAACCTGTGCAGGAGAACCTCTTGTGAAGTCCTGTGACTTGTGTTTTGCACCAATATAGCATTTTCAATTTCCCAGAAAGTCAGATGATGCATTTCCGAAAGCCAGTGCTTAAGGTAGAATAATTTCCTGAAAGAGATTTGGTCATTCTGCTTTCAGGATCTGAGGTAAAATCTATATAAAGCAGTCACTTCAGGCAACAGAGCAGTAACCACTTGTGGCAGAACTGAATTGTTAAGGGCCCCCAGCACCATGTGGTGTCCCGAAGGAGGTGACAATACCAGCACTGGCACGGCAGCGTTGGGCAGGGGTCCAGTATTCCTTGGGAAAATCCCTCCTTGTGCAGGACCCTGCCTGCCTGGCTGGGCCCACGGGGAGAAGACCAGCATCCATCAGTCTGAGGGAGAGTTCTGGAGTGTCACAGCTCAGCCAAGACTCACTGACCAAAGGGAAGGGCTGACCTTGCAAAGGCTGTCCCTGCAGTGACCACCCCGCCAGGCTGCTGGCACTGCCCTCTGGGCTGTTCCTACGGGAGTTTCTATTTCAGGCATTGCCTTAAGCAGTACAGGTGAGGGGCAGCACATTCCCAGTCCAAAATAGAATAGCTTGAATTATTAATATGCACTTGCACCACGGGCCAGCACGCTCTCCCTGAATTGTATGCCTCATGCCCCTCCTTCCTCTCCTCATCCTGGAAGCAGCCTGGTGCTGTGCAGTTTGTGGAAATGTGACACCAGCTGCCACCTGAATTTTGCTGGACCTGATGAACAGGCAAGATTTCTTTCCCTGTGGAGCCTGAAATTTTAATGGCAGAGATTAAATTACAGAACTTCTCTGCTTGCTTAAGTCAATATAATACTTTATACTGAGCCTAGAAAACAAGACAGGGGAAAAGTAAACACAGGAGACTTGCCTCCTGAGCAACCTACAGGTGAGGTAATGGTTTCTTTAGCCTGGAATGCCAGTACTGACTTTCTGTCCTTCAAACCAAATGCTTCAAATTGTGTTTCAAAAGTTGGTTTTGTGTCCCCTTGCATATCCTTGGTCCAACACATCCATTAAGGCGCCCGACCTGTTTATCCCTGCATTGGAATCAGCTCCCTGAATGCTTCCTGGCTTAGGTACAGGGGCTTGGCAGAGCTTTGGTGTTGTGCCAGCCTGCTGCGTAAGGAAATGAGACACTGCCCTCTCTGCCCTGCTACGACTAAGTGTGTGGAAAAGACTTTTTCTGTGGGCTCTGGGTTTGAGGAGTTATTTTCCTAGCAGTGTTCCTGTAGGGCATTCAGCCATGGACCCCTGCTCCTGCAAAGTTCTGCTTCAGGCTCAAACCACACAGTAAGTGCTGAATTTCTGCTAAATGCCTGATTTCCTCTAAGTCCGGATCCTGCGATTTGCTTTCCATTGATCAACTTTTGCAAAGGTTTGGAGTTAGCAAAAGTTCCTCATCCATTTAACCCTCACTGAGGGCCTACTACAGCCCTTCTCATTTGACACCCAAAGGAGTTCTCAATGTCCCTTGGCTTGTGGAGTTTTATTTAGGAAAAACCTGGTGGAAAATTTCCACCCATTGCAGCATATGAGGAAGTCAGATGTCATTCTTATAGCAAAAATGAGAGACAGGAGAAATCCACTGTCAAAAAACCCTGTCAGATTTCCTTCTGCCAGAATCTCCAGCTGTGTAGAGGAGAAAAGGGAAGGATTTACGTCTATTGATGGAAAAAATTCCAAAATAGAACAGGGATTGCATGTCCCCTGATACCTTCCTAAAGGAAACAGTATGGAGGATGTCAAAATTTCATGGAGTAAAAATATTAAGCCACTAAGGAGAGCTCAGAGTGCCTTTGCCAAAGGTTGAACTGCTCAAAGAAGTTTGTGGCACATTGTGCAAGCCCATAACCTACTGCTGCAACCGAGATCTTTCCATGAGGAAATGTTTCAGCTCAACTTGAGACTGGGCTAAGAGATGGTAAAAACAGGTAAAATCATCCCTGTGCTTCCCTACTCCTTGTGGGGAAGAACAGAGATAAAGTGCTCCTTGTCTCAACCGCATTAAATCCGAGATAAGTGTTGTTTACTTCACCCCTTTCCAAGAGGAAAGGTCACTTGTGATCTCAGTGGAGCTGCAGCAGCAATTTCCTCCTGGCAGCGATCACCTCTGGCCTGGTAAGGCAGAGCCCCGTTCCCCTCCTTTGGGGATGCTGTTAACCCTGTCCTTGCTGGCTGTGTCCCCAGGGCTGGCTCTGAACACATGGACACAGTGTGTAGGGTCTGAAACAGCGCTGAGATGCTGCTGGGCAGACTTACAGAAACAATTCTGGTCCTAGCAAATGATGCTCAGAGGGTGGAATAAGGGTCACTTGTTCCTTCAAGTTACAGAGGAAGGGTCCTGCCACCTGCAGAAAGAGTCTTTGTTTCGTCCCCTCCTCAGCTTTCTTGGGTTTATATTGCTATGTATTTAACCTAAACTCTTTTTTGCTTTGACTGAACATTATGTTCATACTTTCATTTTCCTCTCATCATGTGTTGGGTCTTTATCACTCAGAGGAAAAATAAATGAGGAAGGAAGCAGCTGACTGGGATCACCCTTAAGCTGGGCTTTGTTAACACCCAGAATGACCACTCTGATTCTCTTAGCCCAGAGTGCAGTTTATTCTGACAGACCAGGCTGTGTGGTATCTTCAATTCTCCTTCTGAAGAGAAGATCTCAAATGTTTTTTGTACATGAGAAGGAGAACAAAAAATCCTTCAAAATGAACCAGTAACGCACAAAGCAACCACTGGCCACTGATGTTCCACACATTCTTCCTTCTTTTCTTCCTTTGCAAATGAACAACTGCAGAAAGCAGTGCAGTAATTACAGGCTGCAGAAACAGCTCGGGTTTTCCTCCACGGACAAGCATGACAAAACATAAAAAATAATTTTTTACCAGCACAGCTGGTGTTGAGATGAAATTATGTGGTTAGCTTTGAAACAGTATTAAAAGAGAAATTTTAATTAACCTGTACCACTGAGTCAGAAGATAATATCTGATGCATCTAACAGTCCTACAGACAAAATATGATAAAATAATTATTTGCACTTAGATATATGCATTACAGACAATGTTGTAATTAAAATGTACTTAATGTCACAGGAGGTCCCTTATTATCAAAATAATTTGTAGAATGACTGTGGAAACAATGTGATGATTATCCATCCCTTTGGCAAAAAAAAAAAAATCAGAATTTGCCAAGAGCACAAAACATCTCTGGGTTTGGAGCAGACAGCAGCACGGTCCAACAGCCCAACTCCTTTCCTCCAGTGCTGAGTTCTGCTTGTCACCAGGGTGGGCACAGGGCACCCATTTTTTTCTGTGCCTATGTTCCTCAGTGCCCTGCCAGGAGGAGGTGTCCCTGTGCTGCCACACGACTCCAGCCAGGAGTGGATGCTTTGCAGGTTGGATGAAGGAGAGATGCCACAGGTGTTGCACTGTTCTTCTGTGGGGAAAATTGATGTCCATGTTCCATTATTTGTTTATTAGCTGCAGTAAAAGGAGTGATTAAATTTGCTGGGACTGATTGTTTTCCTACTGTGGCACTTCCAAAGCACTTGGGCCACGAAAAGACTCAAACCCAAGGAAAAATTCAATTTATATTTGCTTGATACTTTGCATTTGCATCTCTGGAGGAATGAGAGTGAGGGCCTGACAAACACAGTGCAGTAAATCTAGGGGGATTGCTCAGGCAGCCTCTGAGAGCCCATCACCTTCGGAGCCACCTCTGCCTGAGACTGAGCCAATCCTTGGAGCTGCCAGGAAACAGTGCCAGTGCCAGCTGCCTGCTCCAGGCCCTGACCTCATCAGTACTAATGAAAGCTTTGGCAAAGCTCTCCCCCAGTTGACATTTCCCTGTCAGAGCTGCTGCGCTGCAGTTGGGGTGCTTGGCTGTTCCTCGGCCCTTTTCTCATGGCCATGGTTTGGATTTGTGCCCCTGCACTTGAAAAATGCCTCTGGACATTGATGGAGCCTTTCCTGAGCACAGAACGAAGAGCTGACCTCATCACAGGGTGCACCTTATCCTAGGGACATGTTCTTCTGGGAAGGGTAGGGAGGGCAGCCAACAGTGGTGTTAGTGCTTATTTATTTCTTCAAATTCTAAATAATAAGGAAAATTGCTGCAAAATATATTAAAGTGGAAGAATGGCTCAAGCAGAAAACACCCCCCCAGTATATCATCATCTGTGTCTTTATCTTCCTTACTCTTCTCCACTTCCCTGTTTTCAAGAGAACAAAGAGAATGTGCCAAAGCTGCTTTGGGA